CTGAGTCCTCCAGCTCTATGGTCCCATAGAGACGCTCTAGCACTGAGTCCTCCAGCTCTATGGTACCATAGAGACGCTCTAGCACTGAGTCCTCCAGCTCTATGGTCCCATAGAGACGCTCTGAGTCCTCCAGCTCTATGGTCCCATAGAGACGCTCTGAGTCCTCCAGCTCTATGGTCCCATAGAGACGCTCTGAGTCCTCCAGCTCTATGGTACCATAGAGACGCTCTAGCACTGAGTCCTCCAGCTCTATGGTCCCATAGAGACGCTCTAGCACTGAGTCCTCCAGCTCTATGGTCCCATAGAGACGCTCTAGCACTGAGTCCTCCAGCTCTATGGTCCCATAGAGACGCTCTAGCACTGAGTCCTCCAGCTCTATGGTCCCATAGAGACGCTCTAGCACTGAGTCCTCCAGCTCTATGGTACCATAGAGACGCTCTAGCGCTGAGTCCTCCAGCTCTATGGTACCATAGAGACGCTCTAGCGCTGAGTCCTCCAGCTCTATGGTACCATAGAGACGCTCTAGCACTGAGTCCTCCAGCTCTATGGTTCCCCCCCCCCCCCCCCCCAGCACACAGAGTCAATGGGTCAAAGCAGTTTATTGGGTGGGCTATGGGGCGCTATGGGGCATCCATAGGTTGCTATGGGGCACCTATGGGTGCTATCGGGGGTCGCTATGGGGCAGCTATGGGTGCTATCGGTGGTTGCTATGGGGCACCCATGGGTGCTCTAGGGGGTTGCTATGGGGCACCTATGGGTGCTGTAGGGGTTTGCTATAGGGCACCCATGGGTGCTCTAGGGAGTCGCTATGGGGCACCTATGGGTGATGTAGGGGTTCACTATGGGGTACCTATGGGTGCTCTAGGGGGTCGCTATGGGGCAACTATGGGTGCTATAGGGGTTTGCTATGGGGAACCTATGGGTGCTGTAGGGGTTCACTATGGGGTACCTATGGGTGCTCTAGGGGGTCGCTATGGGGCAGCTATGGGTGCTCTAGGGGGTCGCTATGGGGCAGCTATGGGTGCTATCGGTGGTCGCTATGGGGCACCTATAGGTGATGTTGGGGGTCACTGTGGGGCAGCTATGGGTACTATCGGGGGTCGCTATGGGGCACCCATGGGGTTTGATTAACACAGACATAGAGGGGTGCAATGAGGGGGTCTATGGGGAGCTATGGGGTGCTCTGGGGTGTCTATGGGGCTCTATGGGGTTCTATGGGGTGTCTATGGGGCTCTACGGGGTGCTCATAGGGTTCTATGGGGCTCAGCTGATGTAGACACAGGGGAAGTCATGGGCCCCATAGATAACCTGAGGGATCAATGGGGCTCTATGGGGTGCCCATAGGGATCAATGGGGCCTCTATGGGGTTCTATGGGGTGCCCATAGGGATCAGTGGGGCTCTATAGGGTGTCCATAGGGATCAATGGGGCTCTATGGGGTGTCCATAGGGATCGATGGGGTGCCCATAGGGATCAATGGGGTGCCCATAGGGATCAATGGGGCGCCCATAGGGATCAATGGGGCTCTATGGGGTGTCCATAGGGATCAATGGGGTGGCCTCAGATCTATGGGGTTCTATGGGGTCTCCATAGCGATCAATGGGGTGCCCATAGGGATCAATGGGGCTCTATGGGGTGTCCATAGGGATCAATGGGGTGCCCATAGGGATCAATAAGGTTCTATGGGGTGCCCATAGCGATCAATGGGGTGTCCATAGGGATCAATGGGGTGCCCATAGGGATCAATGGGGCATCTATAGGGTGTCCACAGAGATCAATCGGGTGCCCACAGGGATCAATGGGGCATCTATAGGGTTCTATGGGGTGTCCATAAGGATCAATGGGGCTCTGTGGGGTGTCCATAGGGATCAATGGGGTGGCCTCAGATCTATGGGGTTCTATGGGGTGTCAATAGCGATCAATGGGGTGTCCATAGCGATCAATGGGGTGCCCATAGGGATCAATGGGGCTCTATGGGGTGCCCATAGAGATCAATGGGGTGCCCATAGGGATCAATGGGGCTCTATGGGGTGTCCATAGCGATCAATGGGGTGCCCATAGGGATCAATGGGGCTCTATGGGGTGCTCATCCATAGAGATCAATAGGGCTCTATGGGGTGTCCACAGCGATCAATGGGGTGCCCATAGGGATCAATGAGGTTCTATGGGGTGCCCATAAAGATCAATGGGGTGCCCATAGGGATCAATGGGGCACCTATGGGGTTCAATGGGGTGCCCATAGGGATCAACGGGGCTCTATAGGGTGTCCACAGAGATCAATGGGGCATCTAGAGGGTTCTATGGGGTGTCCATAGGGATCAATGGGGCTCTGTGGGGTGTCCATAGGGATCAATGGGGTGGTCTCAGATCTATGGGGTTCTATGGGGTCTCCATAGCGATCAATGGGGTGCCCATAGGGATCAATGGGGCTCTATGGGGTGTCCATAGGGATCAATGGGGTGCCCATAGGGATCAATAAGGTTCTATGGGGTGCCCATAGCGATCAATGGGGTGTCCATAGGGATCAATGGGGTGCCCATAGGGATCAATGGGGCATCTATAGGGTGTCCACAGAGATCAATGGGGTGCCCACAGGGATCAATGGGGCATCTATAGGGTTCTATGGGGTGTCCATAAGGATCAATGGGGCTCTGTGGGGTGTCCATAGGGATCAATGGGGTGGCCTCAGATCTATGGGGTTCTATGGGGTGTCAATAGCGATCAATGGGGGGCCCATAAGGATCAATGGGGCTCTATGGGATGCCCATCCATAGAAATCAATGGGGCTCTATGGGGTGTCCATAAGGATCAATGGGGCTCTATGGGGTGCCCATAAGGATCAATGGGGTGCCCATAGGGATCAATGGGGCTCTATGGGGTGTCTATAAGGATCAATGGGGTGCCCACAGGCATCAATGGGGCTCTATGGGGTGCCCATAGGGATCAATGGGACACCCTTAGGGATCAATGGGGCTCTATGGGGTGCCCATAGAGATCAATGGGGCTGTATAGGACACAATGGGGGTCAGTTGATTCTATGGCTCCTTATGGGTCCAAGTATGTCTCTATGGACCCTATGGGTCTCAATGTGTCACAATGGGTCGCTATGGGTCCCAATGGGTCACTATGGGTCTCTATGGAATCTATGGCTCCCAATGGGTCGCTATGGGTCCCAATGGGTTGCTATGGGTCTCTATGGAATCTATGGCTCCCAATGGGTCCCAATGGGTCGCTATGGGTCTTTATGGCTCCCTATGGTCTCTAGGGTCCCTACGGGTCTCTATGGGTCGCTATGGGTATCAACGGGTCACTATGGGTCCCAATGGGTCTCTATTGATCTTTATGGACTCTGTGGCTCCCAATGGGTCTCAATGGACCCTATGGGTCCCAATGGGTCGCTATGGGTGTCAATGGGTAGCTATGGGTCCCAATGGGTCGCTATGGCTCCCAATGGGTCGCTATGGGTCTTTATAGCTCCCTATGGTCTCTAGGGTCCCTACGGGTCCCAATGGGTCGCTATGGGTGTCAATGGGTCTCTATGGATCTTTATGGACTCTATGGCTCCCAATGGGTCTCTATGGACCCTATGGGTCCCAATGGGTCGCTATGGCTGTCAATGGGTCTCTATGGGTCTCTATAGCTCCCAATGGTCTCTATGGTCCCTATGGGTCGCTATGGGTATCAACGGGTCGCTATGGGTCCCAATGGGTCTCTATGGATCTTTATGGACTCTATGGCTCCCAATGGGTCTCTATAGACCCTATGGGTCCCAATGGGTCACTATGGGTCCCAATGTTTTGCTATGGGTCCCAATGGGTCTCTATGGATCTTTATGGACTCTATGGCTCCCAATGGGTCTCTATGGACCCTATGGATCCCAATGGGTCGCTATGGGTCTCTATGGCTCCCAATGGTCTCTATGGTCCCTATGGGTCCCAATGGGTCTCTATGGGTCCCAATGGATCTCTATGGGTCCCAATGGGTCTCTATGGATCTTTATGGCCTCTGTAGCTCCCCATGGGTCTCTCTCTGGACCCTATGGGTGGCCGTGGGGCTCAGCTGATGTAGACGCGGTGGAAGTCGTGGGCCCCGAAGGCCGCGTTGCACTTGGGGCACTTGCGCTGCCGGGTCTCGTAGCGGCTCCGCACGCACTCGAAGCAGAAGACGTGGAAGCACTTGGTGAGGACGGCGTCCTTCTTGCGGGCGTTGCAGCAGGGGCAGGTGAGGCGGGCCTGTGGGGGGCGATGGGGGGTGATGGGGGGTGATGGGGGTCAATGGGAGTCAATGGGAATCAATGGAAGTCAATGGGAGTCAATGGGAGTCAATGGAAGTCAATGGGGGTCAATGGAAGTCAATGGGAGTCAATGGGGTCAATGGGAGTCAATGGGAGTCAAGGGGAGTCAATAGAAGTCAATGGAAGTCAATGGGAGTCAATGAAAGTCAATGGGAGTCAATGGGGTTAATGGGGGCCAATGGGGGGCGATGAGGGTCAATGGGAGTCAATGGAAGTCAATGGGAGTCAATGGAGCTCAATGGGGTCAATGGGGCCAATCGGGGGCGATGGGGGTCAATGGGAGTCAATGGAAGTCAATGGGACTCAATGGAGCTCAATGGGGTCAATGGAGATCAATGGGACTCAATGGGAGTCAATGGGGTTCAACGAGGGTAATGGGGGTCAATGGGACTCAATGGAGCTCAATGGGGGGCGGTGGGGGTCAATGAGAGTCAATGGGTCTCAATGGGTCTCAATGGGCTCAATGGGGCTCAATGGGTCTCAAAGGGTCTCAATGGGGCTCAACGGGTGTCAATGGGCTCAATGGGGCTCAATGGGTCTCAATGGGTGTCAATGGGCTCAATGGGGCTCAATGGGGCTCAATGGAGCTCAATGGGGTCAATGGGGCTCAATGGGGCTCAATGGGGCTCAATGGGGCTCAATGGAGCTCAATGGGGCTCAATGGGTCTCAATGGGTCTCAATGGGGCTCAATGGGGTCAATGGGGCTCAATGGGCCCCCCATACCCGATATTCCTTGATCTCTTCCTGCAGGATTTGGTCGGCGTCGGCGTAAACCTCGACCTTGCGCTGCTTCTCCAGCTTCCGGCGCAGGCGGGAGAGCTCCTCCTGTGGGGCGGGACCCATAGAAACCCATAGAGAGCCATAGGGACCCATAGAGACCCATAGAAACCCATAGAGAGCCATAGAGACCCCATAGAGACCCATAAGGACCCATAGAGACACCATAGAGAGCCATAGAGACCCATAGGGAGCCATAGAGACCCATAGAAACCAATAGGGACCCATAGAAACCCATAGAGACCCATAGGGACCTATAGAGACCCGCAGAGACCCCATAGAGACTCACAGAGACCCTATAGAGACCCATAGGGACCCCATAGCGCTCCATAGGCACCCACAGAGCCCCATAGGCACCCCACAGTGCCCCATAGACACCCCACAGACACCCACAGCACCCCACAGATCCCCATAGCACCCCACAGACACCCACAGCACCCCATAGACACCCCATAGGCACCCATAGAGCCCCATAGGCACCCCATAGGGCCCCATAGACACCCATAGACACCCAGAGAGCCCCATAGACCCTCACAGCACCCCATAGACACCGCATAGACACCCATAGACACCCCACAGGCACCCATAGAGCCCCACAGACACCCCATAGCATCCATTGGCAACCCATAATGCCCCATAGCCAGCCCATAAACACCCACAGCACCCCATAACCACCCCATAGAGCCCCATAGACACCCCACAGACACCCACAGCGCCCCATAGACCCCCATAGCGCCCCACAGACACCCCATAGGCACCCATAACGCCCCATAGGCACCCCATAGCGCCCCATAGCCACCCCACAGAGCCCCAGAGACACCCATAGCACCCCATAGCCGCCCCATAGACACCCACAGCGACCCATAGACCCCCATAGACACCCATAGCGCCCCATAGGCACCCCATAGAGCCCCATAGAGCCCCATAGACACCCCATAGCGCCCCATAGACACTCCATAGAGCCCCATAGGCGCCCCCCAGAGCCCCATAGGCACCCCTTAGCGCCCCATAGCCACCCCATAGAGACCCATAGAGACCCATAGACACCCATAGCACCCCACAGACACCCACAGAGCCCCACAAACACCCCACAGAACCCCATAGACACCCCAAAGAGCCCCACAGACACCCCATAGCGACCCATAGACACCCCATAGCGCCCCATAGACACCCCATAGAGCCCCATAGACCCCCATAGACCCCCATAGACACCCATAACCACCCCATAGAGCCCCATAGACACCCACAGCGCCCCATAGACACCCATAACCACCCCATAGAGCCCCATAGGCACCCCATAGAGCCCCATAGCCACCCCATAGAGCCCCAGAGACACCCATAGCGCCCCATAGCCGCCCCATAGACACCCCAGAGACACCCACAGCGACCCATAGACCCCCATAGACACCCATAGCACCCCATAGGCACCCCATAGAGCCCCATAGACACCCCATAGCGCCCCATAGACACCCCATAGAGCCCCATAGGCACCCCATAGCGCCCCATAGCCACCCCACAGAGCCCCAGAGACACCCACAGAGCCCCACAGACACCCCATAGCGCCCCACAGACACCCCACAGAGCCCCACAGACACCCCACAGAGCCCCATAGTACCCCATAGACACCCATAACCACCCCATAGAGCCCCATAGACACCCCATAGCGCCCCATAGACCCCATAGGCACCCCACAGAGCCCCATAGGCACCCCATAGTGCCCCATAGCCACCCCATAGAGCCCCATAGGCACGCCATAGACCCCCACAATGCCCCCTAGACACCCATAACCACCCCATAGAGCCCCATAGACACCCCATAGCGCCCCATAGCCACTCCATAGAGCCCCATAGACACCCACCAGAGCCCCATAGGCACCCCATAGCCCCCCCATAGAGCCCCATAGACACCCATAGCGCCCCACAGACACCCACAGAGCCCCACAGACACCCCATAGAGCCCCACAGACCCCCATAGTACCCCATAGAGCCCCATAACCACCCCATAGCGCCCCATATCCGCCCCATAGCGCCCCCACCTGGGCCCTCTTGAGGCTCAGGGACTCCTTCTCCTTGGCAGCCCTGTTCTCGGCGGCGCAGCTCTGCAGCTCCCGCAGCCGGGCCTGGACGTGCTCCCCCTGCGCCCGCAGGTCCTCGGCCAACTGCGCCGCCTCCACCGCCTGGGGACCCATAGGGATGCATGGGGACCCATAGGGGGCCATAGGGATGCATTGGGGCCATAGGGATGCATGGGGACCCATAGGGGGCCATAGGGATGCATTGGGGCCATAGGGATGCATTGGGGTCCATAGGGATGCATTGGGGTCCATAGGGGGCCATAGGGATGCATTGGGGCCATAGGGATGCATTGCGGCCATAGGGATGCATTGGGGTCCATAGGGACGCATGGGGGCCATAGGGATGCATGGGGACCCATAGGGATACATTGGAGCCATAGGGATGCATTGCGGCCATAGGGATGCATTGGGACCCATAGGGATGCATTGGGGTCCATGGGGTGCCATAGGGATGCATTGGGGACCATAGGGATGCATTGGGGGCCATAGGGATGCATTGCGGCCATAGGGATGCATTGGGGTCCATAGGGGGCCATAGGGATGCATTGGGGTCATAGGGATGCATGGAAACCCATAGGGATGCATTGGGGCCATAGGGATGCATGGGGACCCATATGGATGCATTGGGGGCCATAGGGATGCATTGGGGTCCATAGGGATGCAGTGGGGCCACAGGGATGCAGTGGGGCCATAGGAATGCATTGGGGTCCATGGGGGGTCATAGGGATGCATTGGGACCCATAGGGATGCATTGGGGTCCATAGGGATGCATTGGGGCCATAGGGATGCATTGAGGTCATAGGGATGCATGGGGACCCATAGGGATGCATTGGGGTCCATAGGGATGCATGGGGACCCATAGGGATGCATTGGAGCCATAGGGATGCATTGCGGCCATAGGGATGCATTGCGGCCATAGGGATGCATTGGGGTCCATGGGGGGCCATAGGGATGCAGTGGGGTCCATAGGGATGCATTGGGACCCATAGGGATGCATTGGGGCCATAGGGATGCATTGGAGCCATAGGGATGCATTGGGACACATAGGGATGCATTGGGGCCATAGGGATGCATGGGGACCCATAGGGATGCATTGGGACACATAGGGATGCATTGGAGCCATAGGGATGCATGGGGACCCATAGGGATGCATTGGGGTCATAGGGATGCAGTGGGACCCATAGAGATGCATTAAGTCCATGGGATCCATTGACCCCCATTGACTCCCATTGACCTCCATTGACTCCCATTGACTCCATTGACCCCCATTGACTCCCATTGATCCCCATTGACTCCCATTGACCCCCATCGCCCCACATCGCCCCACACCTTCCCCTTGTGCAGCTCCAGGCCCTGGCACCGCACCGCCAGCTCCCTCTCCATTCATCCCCATTGATCCCCATTGACTCCCATTGACCCCCATTGACTCCCATTGACCCCCATTGACTCCCATTAATCCCCATTGATCCCCATTGACTCCCATTGACCCCCATTGACCCCCATTGACTCCCATTGACCCCCATTGACTCCCATTAATCCCCATTGATCCCCATTGACTCCCATTGACCCCCATTGACTCCCATTGACTCCCATTGATCCCCATTGACTCCCATTGACTCCCATTGACTCCCATTGACTCCCATTGACCCCCATTGACCCCCATTGACTCCCATTGACTCCCATTGATCCCCATTGACTCCCATTGACCCCCATCGCCCCACATCGCCCCACACCTTCCCCTTGTGCAGCTCCAGGCCCTGGCACCGCACCGCCAGCTCCCTCTCCATTCATCCCCATTGATCCCCATTGACTCCCATTGATCCCCATTGTCTCCCATTGACCCCCATTGACCCCCATCGCCCCACATCGCCCCACACCTTCCTCTTGTGCAGCTCCAGGCCCTGGCACCGCACCGCCAGCTCCCTCTCCATTCATCCCCATTGATCCCCATTGACTCCCATTGACTCCCATTGATCCCCATTGACTCCCATTGACCCCCATCGCCCCACATCGCCCCACACCTTCCTCTTGTGCAGCTCCAGGCCCTGGCACCGCACCGCCAGCTCCCTCTCCATTCATCCCCATTGATCCCCATTGACTCCCTTTGACTCCCATTGACTCCCATTGATCCCCATTGACTCCCATTGATCCCCATTGACTCCCATTGACCCCATTGACTCCCATTGACTCCCATTGACCCCCATTGACTCCCATTGATCCCCATTGACTCCCATTGACTCCCATTGATCCCCATTGACTCCCATTGACCCCCATTGACCCCCATTGACTCCCATTGACTCCCATTGATCCCCATTGACTCCCATTGATCCCCATTGACCCCCATTGACTCCCATTGATCCCCATTGACTCCCATTGACTCCCATTGACTCCCATTGACTCCCATTGACCCACATCGCCCCACATCGCCCCACACCTTCCTCTTGTGCAGCTCCATGCCCTGGCACCGCACCGCCAGCTCCCTCTCCATTCATCCCCATTGATCCCCATTGACTCCCATTGATCCCCATTGACTCCCATTGACTCCCATTGACTCCCATTGACCCCCATTGACTCCCATTGATCCCCATTGATCCCCATTGACTCCCATTGACTCCCATTGACTCCCATTGATCCCCATTGACTCCCATTGATCCCCATTGATCCCCATTGACTCCCATTGATCCCCATTGACTCCCATTGATCCCCATTGACTCCCATTGACCCCCATTGACTCCCATTAATCCCCATTGATCCCCATTGACTCCCATTGACCCCCATTGACTCCCATTGACTCCCATTGATCCCCATTGACTCCCATTGATCCCCATTGACTCCCATTGACTCCCATTGATCCCCATTGATCCCCATTGACTCCCATTGATCCCCATTGATCCCCATTGACTCCCATTGATCCCCATTGACTCCCATTGACTCCCATTGACTCCCATTGATCCCCATTGACTCCCATTGACCCCCATTGACTCCCATTGACTCCCATTGACTCCCATTGACCCCCATTGACTCCCATTGACTCCCATTGATCCCCATTGACTCCCATTGATCCCCCTTGACTCCCATTGATCCCCCTTGACTCCCATTGATCCCCATTGACTCCCATTGACTCCCATCGCCCCACATCGCCCCACACCTTCCTCTTGTGCAGCTCCAGGCCCTGGCACCGCACCGCCAGCTCCCTCTCCACGCCTCCCAGGCTGCTCTGCAGCGCTCGTTCCTTCTCCTCCAGCTTCTGCACCAGCAGCAGCTGCGCGTCCACCTGTGGGCACAGCGCGCTCCAGACCCACTTGTGGGGCAGCCAGGGGCACTTGTGGGGCAGCCAGGACCACTTATGGGGCATCCAGACCCACTTAGGGGCCAAGCAGGAGCACTTATGGGGCAGCCAGGACCACTTATGGGGCAGCCAGGGCCACTTGTGGGGCAGCCATAACTACTTGTGGGGCGACAGGACCACTTATGGGGCAAGCAGGAGTACTTATGGGGCATCCAGACCCACTTGTGGGGCAGCCAGGGCCACTTGTGGGGCAGCCATAACTACTTGTGGGGCAACAGGACCACTTATGGGGCAAGCAGGAGTACTTATGGGGCATCTAGACCCACTTGTGGGGCAGCCAGGGCCACTTATGGGGCAGCCAGACCCACTTATGGGGCAATCAAACCCACTTACGGGGCATCCAGACTCACTTATGGGGCATCCAGACCCACTTATGGGGCAACCAGAACCACTTATGGGGCAACCAGAACCACTTAGGGGGCATCCAGACTCACTTATGGGGCAAGCAGGACCACTTATGGGGCAGCCAGGACCACTTATGAGGCAAGCAGGACCACTTATGGGGCAACCAGGAGCACTTATGGGGCAACCAGGAGCACTTATGGGGCATCCAGCACCACTTATGGGGCAACCAGGAGCACTTATGGGGCAGCCAGACCCACTTATGGGGCAACCAGAACCACTTATGGGGCAACCAGAACCACTTATGGGTCATCCAGGACCACTTATGGGGCAACCAGGAGCACTTATGGGGCATCCAGACTCACTTACGGGGCTACCAGAACCACTTGTGGGGCAACCAGAACTTCTTACGTGGCATCCATCCCCACTTACGGCCCCTCCATCCCCACTTACGGCCCCTCCATCCCCACTTATCCCCCCTCCATCCCCACTTAGGGGTCACCCCCCAACCCCGCAGCCCCACGGCGCGCTGCCCCACCTGCGCCTTGAGGGCCAGGACCTGCTCGCCCAGCTCGTCCTTCTCCTCGCGCAGGAGCTTGTGGATCTGGTTGGCCTTGATGCGCTCCGACATGAGCTTGAAGTTGGCGTCGTCCTTCTCGCGCAGCTGCTGCAGGAGCCGCAGGTTCTGCTCCTGCATGTCCTCGAAGGCCTGGCCCGTCACGTCCATCTCCGACAGCAGCGCCTCCTCCTCCTGAGACAGCCAATGGGGAGCCATTATCATAGAGACATCGTCATCGACTCAACGGAAACCCAACGACATCGACTCAACATGGAACCATCATCATCGACTCAATGTAGACCCATTGTCATTGACTCAACATGGAGCCATCATCATCGACTCAACATGGAGCCATCATCATGGAGCCATCATCATCGACTCAACATGGAGCCATCATCATCGACTCAACATGGAACCATCATCATCGACTCAACATGGACCCATCATCATGTCCTCGAAAGCCTGGCCCGTCACGTCCATCTCCGACAGCAGCGCCTCCTCCTCCTGAGACAGCCAATGGGGAGCCGTTAGCATGGAGACATCGTCATCGACTCAACACGGAGCCATCGTCATGGAAACAGCATCATCGACTCAACGGAGACCCAACGTCATTGACTCAACATGGAGCCATCATCATGGAGCCATCATCATCCACTCAACATGGAGCCACCATCATCGACTCAACGTAGACCCAACATCATTGACTCAACATGGAGCCATCATCATGGAAACAGCATCATCGACTCAACATGGAGCCATCATCATTGACTCAACATGGACCCATCATCACTGACTCAACATGGACCCATCATCATGGAGCCATCATCACTGACTCAACATGGACCCATCATCATGGAGCCCTCATCATCGACTCAACATGGAGCCATCATCATGGACCCATCATCATGTCCTCGAAGGCCTGGCCCGTCACGTCCATCTCCGACAGCAGCGCCTCCTCCTCCTGAGACAGCCAATGGGGAGCCATCAGCGTGGAGACATCGTCATCGACTCAACACAGAGCCATCGTCATGGAAACAGCATCATCAACTTAACGGAGACCCAACGTCATTGACTCAACATGGAGTCATCATCATGGAGCCATCATCATCGACTCAACATGGAGCCACCATCGACTCAACGTAGACCCAACATCATTGACTCAACATTGACCCATCATCATGGAGCCATCGTCATCGACTCAATGGAGACCCAACATCATTGACTCAACATGGAGCCATCATCATGGAAACAGCATCATCAACTCAACATGGAGCCATCATCATCAACTCAACATGGACCCATCATCATGGACCCATCATCATGTCCTCGAAGGCCTGGCCCATCACGTCCATCTCCGACAGCAGCGCCTCCTCCTCCTGAGACAGCCAATGAGGAGCCGTTAGCATGGAGACAGCATCATCGACTCAACACGGAGCCATCGTCATGGAAACACCATCATCGACTCAACGAAGACCCAACGTCATTGACTCAACTTGGAGCCATCATCATGGAAACAGCATCATCGACTCAACGGAGACCCAACGACATTGACTCAACATGGAGCCATCATCATGGACTCAACGTAGACCCATCATCATCGACTCAACGTAGACCCATCATCATGGTGGACCCATCATCATCGACTCAATGTAGACCCATCATCATTGCCTCAACGTAGACCCATCATCATCGACTCAACGTAGACCCATCATCATGGACCCATCATCATCGACTCAACGTAGACCCATCATCCTCGACTTAACGTAGACCCATCATCACCGACCCATCGTAAACCCATCATCACTGACCCATCATCATCGACTCAACGTAGACCCATCATCATCCCCTCAACGTAGACCCATCATCATGGACCCATCATCATCGACTCAACGTAGACCCATCATCATCGACTCAACGTAGACCCATGATGACCGACCCATTGGAGACTCATCATCATCGACTCAACGTAGACCCATCATCATGGAACCATCATCATTGACTCAACATGGAGCCATCATCATGGACCCATCATCATCGATTCAACATGGAGCCATCATCATCGACTCAACGTAGACCCATCATCATGGAGCCATCATCATCGACTCAACATGGAGCCATCATCATGGACCCATCATCATCGCCTCGATGTAGACCCATCATCGACTCAACGTAGACCCACCATCATGAAGCCATCATCATCGACTCAACATGGACCATCATCATGGAGCCATCATCATCACCTCAACATGGAGCCATCATCATTGACTCAACGTAGACCCATCATCATGGAGCCATCATCATCGCCTCAACGTAGACCCATCATCATGGACCCATCATCGTCGACTCAACATAGACCCATCATCATTGCCTCAACATAGACCCATCACCGTAGACCCATCATCACCGACCCATCGTAGACCCATCACCATGGACCCATCATCACCGACCCATCGTAGACCCATCATCATGGACCCATCATCATCGACTCAATGTAGGCCCATCATCATCGACTCAACGTAGACCCATCATCATGGAGCCATCATCATTGACTCATCATGGACCCATCATCATGGACTCATCATCATCGCCTCAACGTAGACCCATCATCACCGACCCATCGTAAACCCATCACCAACCCATCATCATCGACTCAACGTAGACCCATCATCATCGCCTCAACGTAGACCCATCATCATGGACCCATCATCATTGCCTCAACGTAGACCCATCATCATCGACTCAACGTAGACCCATCATGATCTACCCATTGTAGACCCATCATCATCGACTCAACATGGACCTATCATCATTGCCTCAACGTAGACCCATCATCATGGACCCATCATCACTGACCCATCGTAGACCCATCACCATAGACCCATCATCACCGACCCATCGTAGACCCATCACCATGGACCCATCATCACCGACCCATTGTAGACCCACCATCATGGACCCATCATCATCGACTCAACGTAGGCCCATCATCATCGACTCAACGTAGGCCCATCATCATCAACTCAACGTAGACCCATCATCATGGAGCCATCATCATTGACTCATCATGGACCCATCATCATGGACTCAACACAGACCCATCATCATCGACTCAATGTAGACCCATTATCATCGACTCAACGTAGACCCATCATCATCGACTCAACGTAGACCCATCATCATGGACCCATCATCATCGCCTCAATGTAGACCCATCATCGACTCAACGTAGACCCATCATCATGAAGCCATCATCATCACCTCAACGTAGACCCATCATCATGGACACATCATCGTTGACTCAACGTAAACCCATCATCATCGACTCAATGCAGACCCATCATCATCGAGTCAACGTAGACCTATCATCATTGACTCAACGTAGACCCATCATCATGGACCCATCATCATCGACTCAACGTAGACCCATCATCATCGACTCAACGTAGACCCATCATCATGGACCCATCATCATCGACTCAACGTAGACCCATCATCCTCGACTTAACGTAGACCCATCATCACCGACCCATCGTAAACCCATCATCACCGACCCATCATCATCGACTCAACGTAGACCCATCATCATCGATTCAACGTAGACCCATCATCATCGACTCAACGTAGACCCATCATCATGGACCCATCATCATCGCCTCAACACAGACCCATCATCATGGACCCATCATCACCGACCCATCGTAGACCCATCATCATCGACTCAACGCAGACCCATCATCACTGACCCATTGTAGACCGATCATCATTGCCTCAACGTAGACCCATCACCATAGACCCACCATCACCGACCCATCGTAGCCCCATCACCACCGAACCCTCACGACCCCAACCCCCTCCGTCTTCCCCAACCCCCTCCCCACCTCCTCCCCCCAACTCCCCTTTCCCATTGGCCGCCTCGGGCTCCTCCCACGCCCTTATAAGGCCATGCTACCTGCTTGGTGGCCGCCAGGCGGCGCTGCAGCAGCTCGATGTGCTCCTCGCCCGCCCGCAGCCGCCTCAGCGCCTCCTCGTCCGCCAGCTTCTTGCTCTCGCGCCGCTCGCGCTCCTCCAGCTCCCGCGCCCGCGCCCGCAGCTCCTCCGCCTGCCGTGACGTCACGTCGTGACGTCAGCCGTGACGTCATGGCCACCGGAAGGAAGGGGGTGGGGGGGGGTGATGGGGGTTGTGGGGGGGGTTAGAGTGTGTTAGCGTGTGTTAGTATGTACTAATGTGTTAGTATGTACTAATGTGTTAGTATGTACTAATGTGTTGGTGTGTATTAATGTGTTGGCGTGTATTAATGTGTTGGCATGTATTAATGCGTTGGCATGTATTAACGTGTTGGCATGTATTAACGTGTTGGCATGTATTAATGTGTTGGCATGTATTAATGTGTTGGCATGTATTAACGCGTTGGCATGTATTAAAGCATGCTAGCATGTGTTAGCATGTTTGCATGTGTTAGCATTCATTAATGTGTTAGCATGTATTAATGTGTTGCATGTATTAACGCGTTGGCATGTATTAATGTGTTGGCATGTATTAAAGCATGTTAGCATGTATTAATGTGTTCGCGTGTATTCATGCGTTGGCATGTATTAAAGCATGTTAGCTTGTGTTAACATGTATTAATGTGTTGGCATGTATTAAAGCATGTTAGCGTGTGTTAGCATGTATTAATGTGTTGGCGTGTATTAATGCGTTGGTGTGTATTAATGTGTTGGCATGTATTAAAGCATGTTAGCGTGTATTACAGCATGTTAGCATGTGTTAGAACGTACAAATGCATTAGCATGTAGTAAAGCATATAAGCTTGTGCTATGTATTAATGTGTTGGCGTGTATTCATGCGTAGGTGTGTATTAATGTGTTGGCATGTATTCATGCGTTGGCATGTATTAATGTGTTAGCGTGTGTTAGTATGTATTAATGTGCTAGTGTGTGTTAGCATGCATTAATGTGTTAGCGTGTGTTAGTATGCATTAATGTGCTGGTGTGTGTTAGCATGCATTAATGTGTTTGTGTTAGTGTGTATTAATGTATTAGTGTGTATTAGCGTGTATTAATGCGTTAGCGTGTGTTAGCATGTATTAACGTGTTGGCATGTATTAATGTGTTGGCGTGTATTAAAGCACATCCGCGTGTGCTAGCATGTATTAATATGATAGCATGTATTAATGCATTAGCATGTATTAATGTGTTAGCATCTATTAATGTGTTGTCATGTATTAAGGTGTTGGCATGTATTATTAATGCGTTGTCATGTATTAACGTGTTAGCATGTATTATTAATATGATTGCATGTATTAATGTGTTGGCATGTATAAATGCGCTATTATGTATTAATGCATCGGCGTGTATTAATGTGTTAGCATGTATTAATGCATTAGCATGTATTAAAACATATTAGCCTGTGTTAGCATGTTACCATGTGTTAGCATGTATTAAAGCATGTTAGCGTGTATTAATGTGTTACCATGCATTAAAGTGTGTTAGCATGCAGTAACGTGTGTTGTGTTCATGTGTGTGTTAATACATTAGTATTTAACGAGTTAGCGTGTAACGTGTTAGCACATGTAACATGCATTAGCATGTATTAATGCGTTAGCATGTATTAAAGCGTGTAAGCATGCGGTAACGTGTGTTAGCGTGTATTAATGTGTGCGTGTGCTAATGCTAGCATGTGTTAATATTACTGTGTTAGCATGTGTTAAGGTGTGCTAGCATGCGTTAACATGTACTAGCATGTTTTAACATGTCCTAGCATGTGTTAACATGTGCTAGCGTGTTAAAATGTGCTAGCGTGTGTTAACATGTGCTCGTGTGTTAACGTGTGTTAACATATGCTAACATGTGTTAACATGTGCTAGCATGTGTAAACATATACTAGCGTGTGTTGACATGTGCTAGAGTGTGTTAACACGTGCTAGCATGTTAATGTGTGCTAGCGTGTTAACATGTTTGAATGTGTTAACATGTGCTAGTGTGTGTTAACGTGTGCTAGCGTGCATTAACGTGTCCTAGCATGTTAACGTGTGCTAGCATGTTAACGTGTGCTAGCGTGTAAACATGTTAGAATGTGTTAACATGTGCTAGCGTGTGTTAACGTGTGCTAGCGTGCATTAGCGTGTGTTAACATGTTAGCATGTGTTAACGTGTGCTACCCTGTTAACATATGCTAGTGTGTGTTAACATATGCTCGTGTGTGTTAACGTGCTCGCGTGTTAACGTGCTCGCGTGTGTTAACGTGTGCTCACGTGTGTTAACATGTGCTAGCGTGTGTTAATATGTGCTAGTGTGTGTTAACATGTGCTAACGCATGGAACACGTTAGCGTGCCTAACATGTGTTACCACAGATTAAAGCGTGTTAGCGCACATTAACACGTGTTAACATGTGTTAACACGCGCTAACATGTATTAACACGCGTTAACACGGGTGGACACGCGTAACACTTAACGCTTGTTCACACGCATTCACGCGGATTTAAGGCACGCCCACGGGGAGTCACGCGTGTTCCCGTGTGCTTAGCGTGTGTTAACATGTGCTCATGTGCGTTAACGTGTGCTAGCGTGTGTTAACATGTGCTAGCGTGTGTTAACATGTGCAAGCGTGTTAACGTGTGTGTTAACATGTGCTAGCGTGTGTTAACGCGTGCTAGCATGTGTTAACATGTGCTAGCGTGTGTTAATATGGGCTAGCATGTGTTAACATGTGCTCATGTGTGTTAACATACGCTAGCACGTGGAACATGTTAGCGCGCCTAACACGCGTTACCACAGATTAAAGCGTGTTAGCGCGCGTTAACACGTGTTAACACGCGTTAACATGTATTAACACGCGTTAACACGGGTGGACACGCGTAACACATAACGCCTGTTCACACGCATTCACGCGGATTTAAGGCACGCCCACGGGGAGTCACGCGTGTTCCCGTGTGCTTAGCGTGCGCACACGCGTGTTCACGCGTGTCGGGGCCCCACCTCGGCCTTGCTCTTCCTCTCGGCCGCCATCAGCTGCACTTTGTCCCTCTGCTCCTTGGGCGCTGACTTGTACATGTCCAGGAGCAGCTTCATCTCCTTCTGGCTCTCCTGCGCCTTCCTGCGCCCCATAGAGACCCATGGAGAGCCATAGGGACCCATAGAGAGCCCATAGAGACCCCATAGAGACCCATAGAGACCCATAGAGACCCCATAGAGACCCCATAGAGAAACATAGAGACCCATAGAGACCCCACAGGGACCCATAGAGTCCCATAGAGACTCCATAGAGAGCCACAGAGAGCCATAGAGACCCATAGGGACCCACAGAAACCCATAGAGAACCATAGAGACCCCATAGGGACCCATACAGACTCCACAGAGACCCATGGAGACCACATAGAGACCCATAGAGACTTCATAAACACCCCATAGAGACCCCACAGAGACCCCATAGAGATGCATAGAGACCCATAGAGACTCCATACACACCCCATAGAGACCCCATAGAGACCCATAGAGACCTCATAGAGAGCCATAGACACCCACAGAGACCCCATAAACACCCCAGAGAGACAGAGAGCCCACAGAGACCCCATAGAGACCCCTAGAGACCCATAGAGACCCCACAGAGACCCCATAGAGACCCCTAGAGACCCATAGAGACCCCATAGAGACCCATAGAGACTCCATACACACCCTATAGAGACCCAGAGACTCCATAGAAACCCCACAGTCTCATAGAGACCCCATAGAGCCCCACAGACCCCCATAGATACCCCATAGTGCACCAGACACCCATAGCCCCCCCCGAGCACCATAGATACCCCATAGCACTCCCACAGACCCTCCACAGACCCCAACAGCCCCCCATAGCCCCCCATAGATACCCCATAGACCTCCCATAGGCACCCCACGGACCCCCCATAGCCCTCCCAGATACCCATAGCACCCTATAGACACCCTATAGACCCCCACAGACACCCCATAGACCCCAATAGCCCCCCATAGACACCCATAGACCCCCATAGCTACCCCATAAATACCCCATAGCCCGCCCACAGACCCCAATAGCCCCCCATAGCCATCCCATAGACACCCACAGAAAATCCATAGCACCCCATAGACACCCACAGACACCCCATAGACCCCCCCATAGCCCTCCCAGACACCCAAATCACCCTATAGACACCCCATAGTCCCCCATAGACACCCCATAGATCCCCATAGCTTCCCCACAGACACCCCATAGACCCCCACAGCCCCCCATAGACCCCCATAAACACCCATAGACACCCCATAGACGCCCATAGCGCCCCATAGACACCCATAGCCCCCCCAAACCACCCCATAAACCCCCCACAGCCCCCCATAGACACACCATAGACACCCATACACACCCCATAGATCCCCATAGCTTCCCCACATACACCCCATAGACACCCCACAGCCCCCCATACACACCCCATAGATCCCCATAGCTTCCCCACATACACCCCATAGACCCCCATAGCCCCCCCACAGACACCCCATAGACCCCCACAGCCCCCCATAGACCCCCATAAACACCCATAGACACCCATAGCCCCCCATAGACACCCATAGCCCCCCCAAACCACCCCATAGACCCCCCATAGACACCCCATAGACACCCATAGACCCCCCATAACGTCCCATAGACCCCCACAGACACCCTACAGACCCCCATAGCCCCCCCATAGACCCCCATAGCCCCCCCATAGGGCCCCCATATACCCCCATAGCCCCCCCATAGCACCCCATAGACACCCCATAGCCCCCCATAGACAGCCCATATCCCCCCCATAGCCCCCCATAGACACCCCATAGCCCCCCATAGACACCCCATAGCCCCCATAGCACCCCATAAACCCCCCATAGCCCCCATAGACACCCCATAGATCCCCATAGCCCCCCCTTAGCACCCCATAAACCCCCCACAGCCCCCCATAGACACCCCATAGACACCCCAGAGACCCCCCATAGACACCCATAGACCCCCACAGATACCCCATAGACCCCCCACAGCCCCCCATAGACACCGCATAGACGCCCATAGTGCCCCGTAGACCCCCATAGGCCCCCCATAGCACCCCCATAGACTCCCATAGGCCCCCCATAGACTCCCATAGCCCCCCCATAGACCCCCCCATAGCACCCCATAGCCCCCCCCCCCCATCCTCACTTGAGCTCCCCCCGCAGTTGCTTGAGCAGCTCCGAATCCTTCTTCTTGGCCTCCTCGGGGGTGGGGGCGGGGCCTCCCCCTCCCCCCGCCCCTCCCCCTCCCCCCTTGGCCCTCGGCCTCTCCCGGGAAGCTCCGGGCCGGGATTGGGAGGAGGAGGGGGGAGGAGGGGGGAGGGGCCCGGGGAGGATGGGAACGGGGGGGGGAGGGGGCAGGGGGGGTTCCTTGGCGCGGGGTGGGGGAGGGGTGGCGGGGGCGGGGCTCGCGAGCTCCTCCTCCTCCCCCCCACCCCCCCACCCCGCCGAGGGGGCGGGGCCGCCGCCTCCTCCCGCTTGGGCTCCGGGGCCACGCCCCCTCCGTCCTCCTCCTTCAAAGGGGCGGGGCCCGGAAGGGGGGGAGGGGCGGGGGCAGCAGCAGCCCCCGAGGCGGGGGGAGGGGCGGAGGTGGGGGGGGGCTCGTCCTGGGAAGAAGGGGTGGAGGGGGTGGGGGTGGGGGGAGGGGTGGGCGGGGGAGGAGGGGGAGGGGCGATGGGGGAAGGGGGAGGGGCGCCGGTGGCCTGAAGGCGGAGCTAAAGGAGAAAGGGGGGGGGGGGGTGGCGTCAATGATGGCGTTGCCCCTTTAAGAGACGGGACCACACCCCCTTGTAGCCCCGCCCACAACGAGGCCCTTTTAAGGATCCCTCTGTGGGCCCACAGGCCTTCGTTCACGCCCATTGCCCTTTTAAGGCCAGGCAAACCCATTGGTGGGGAGAGGGGACCGCCTCTCCCCCCTTAAAAGGGCAACAGCCAATCAAAGGAGGGCACGCCCCGCCCATTCACCAATGCTGGCCACGCCCCCTCTTAGCTTACCCCCGCCTCTTAAAGGGGCTACACCCCTTTGTGGGTGGAACCCACATACACCCCCCCTTAAAAGGGCTATACATCTTTATGGGTGGGACCCACCATTATACCCATAACCTCGTAGTACACCCATAGCCCCCTTAAAGGGGCCACACACTGCTAGGGGTGGGCCCCACAAGTGTCCCAGTGCTTTCCCTTAAAGGGGCAATACATCCTAGTGGATGGGAGCCACTAACAGACCCACACCTCAGCTCCTTAAAGGGGTCACACACTGCTAGGGGTGGTCCCCACCAGTGTACCCATTCTCAGTCCTTTAAAGGGGCAATGCCACACATGCCCTTAAAGTGCAACGCCGTCCATGCCCTTAAAGGGGCAACACCACTCATGCTCTTAAAGGGGCAACAGCACCCATTCCCTTAAAAGGACATCACCACCCAATCCCTTAAAGGGGCAACGCCACCCATTCCCTTAAAAGGGCGCCTCCCATTGCCTTATAAGGGCAACACTGCCCATTACCTTAAAGGGGAACAGCACCCATTCTATTAAAGGGGCAATGCCACCCATTCTATTAAAGTGGCAACGCCACCCATTCTCTTAAAGGGGCAATGCCACCTATTCTATTAAAGGGGCAACGCCACCCAGTCTCTTAAAGGGGTGCCACCCATTCTCTTAAAGGGACAACACCACCCATGCCCTTAAAGGGGCAATACCACCCATTGACTTGGAAGGGGTAACGCCACCCATTCTCTTAAAGGGGCAACACCACCCATGCCCTTAAAGAGGCAACACCACCCATAAAGGGGCAACGTCACCCATTCTCTTAAAGGGGCAACGCCACCCATTCTCTTAAAGGGGCAATGCCACCCATGCCCTCAAAGAGGCAACACCACCCATAAAGGTGCAACGCCACCCATTCTCTTAAAGGGGCAACACCACCCATAAAGGTGCAACGCCACCCATTCTCTTAAAGGGGCAACACCACCCATGCCCTTAAAGAGGCAACACCACCCCGAAGCTCCTCCCACCTTGTTGATCTCGGCCTGCACCTCCCGCAGCTTCCTCTTGTAGCGCTGGACGTCGCCCTTGAGCTGGTGGTTGTGGTTCTGGAGGCTGCTGATGAGGTGGCGCATCTCCCTATTGATGGGGCCTGGGGGGGGGACGGGGACAGCGGGGTTATGGGGGGCTCTATGGGTCCCTGTGGGGCTCTATGGGGTTTCTATGGGGTCTCTATGGGGTTTCTATGGCTCTTTAAGGGACTCTGGGTCTCTATGGTTGCTATAGTCCCTATAGGTTGCTAAGGGTCTCCATGGTTTCAATGAGTTTTATGGTTTCTATGGGTCTCTATGGGTCACTATGGCGCTCAATGGGTCCCCATGTGTCTCTATGGTCTCTCTGATGCTCTATGGTGTCTATGGTTCTCAATAAGTCTCTACAGTCACTATGGGTCCCAATGGGTCTCTATGGCTGTCAATGGGTCTCTATGGGTCCCTATGGGTCTCAATGGGACTTTATGGTTTCTATGGCTCTCAGTGGGTCCCTATGGTCTCTATGGGTCCCTATGCCTCTCAAGGAGTCCCTATGGCTCTCAATGGGTCTCTATGGTTTCAATGGATCCCTGTGGGTCTCAATAGGTCCCTATGGTCTCAATGGGTCCCTACGGTCTCAATGGGCCCCTATGGATCCCTATGGGTCTCGACGGGTCCCTATGGCTCTCTATGGGTCCCTATGGCTTTCAATGGCTTCCTACGACTCTCAATAGAGTCTCCATGGGTCCCTATGGGTCTCCCTATGGGTCCGGATGTGGGTCGCTCACCAGCCTGCTCGTTGGCGGCCAGGTTCTGCTCGAACTCGATGCGCAGCATCTCGTACTCCTTGCGCACCTGGGCCAGGGTGTCCTCCAATTGGATGACCTCGGTGCGTAGGCGCTTCTGCACCCCCAGCTCGTCGCTCTGGGGCACGGGGTTGGGGGGACACACACATCGATGTGAGATGTGGGGGGGACACCCACCCCCCCAATGGGCACCCAATGGGTATCAATGGCACCCAACGGACTCAATGGGCACCAATCGACTCAATGGGACCCAATGGGCACCCAATGGACTCAATAGACCCAATGGGCAATAATAGACTCAATGGGCACCAACAGACTCAATGGGACCCCAATGGGCGCCCAATGGGCACCAATCGACTCAATGGGCACCCAATGGGCACCAATCGACTCAATGGGAACTCAATGGGCACCCAATGGACTCAATGGACCCAATGGGCACCAATAGACTCAATGGGCATCAACGGACACCCAATGGTCACCAATGGCACCCAATGGGCACCAATCGACTCAATGGGCACCAATGGGCACCCAATGGACTCAATGGACCCAATGGGCACCAATCGACTCAATGGGCATCAATGGGCACCCAATGGGCACCAATCGACTCAATGGGACCCCAATGGGCGCCCAATGGACTCAAATGGACCCAATGGGCACCAATCGACTCAATGGGCACCAATGGGCACCCAATGGGCACCAATCGACTCAATGGGAACTCAATGGGCACCCAATGGACTCAATGGACCCAATGGGCACCAATAGACTCAATGGGCATCAACGGACACCCAATGGGCACCAATCGACTCAATGGGAACTCAATGGACTCAATAGACCCAATGGGCACCAATCGACTCAATGGGCATCAATGGGCACCCAATGGTCACCCAATGGGTATCAATGGCACCCAACGGACTCAATGGGCACCAATCGACTCAATGGGCAGCAATGGGCACCCAATGAACTCAATAGACCCAATGGGCACCAATCGACTCAATGGGCATCAATGGGCACCCATTGGGCACCAATCAACTCAATGGGCACCAATGGGCACCCAATGGGCACCAATGGCACCCAATGGGCACCAATCGACTCAATGGGCATCAATGGGCACCCAATGGGCACCAATCGACTCAATGGGCAGCAATGGGCACCCAATGGGCACCAATCGACTCAATGGGACCCCAATGGGCACCCAATGGACTCAATAGACCCAATGGGCACCAATCGACTCAATGGGCATCAATGGGCACCCAATGGGCACCAATGGCACCCAATGGGCACCAATCGACTCAATGGGCACCCAATGGGCACCAATCGACTCAATGGGCAGCAATGGGCACCCAATGGGCACCAATCGACTCAATGGGACCCCAATGGGCACCCAATGGACTCAATAGACCCAATGGGCACCAATCGACTCAATGGGCATCCATGGACACCCATTGGGCACCAATCGAGTCAATGGGCACCAATGGGCACCCAATCGGCACCAATCGATTCAATGGGCATCAATGGGCACCCAATGGGCACCAATCGACTCAATGGGCATCAATGGGCACCCAATGGGGAACAATCGAGTCAATGGGCATCAATGGACATCCAATGGGCAACAATCAACTCAATGGGCACCAATGGGCACCAATGGGCACCAATCGACTCAATGGGACCCCACTGGGCACCCAATGGGCACCAATTGACTCAATGAGCATCAATGGGCACCCAATGGGCACCAACGGCCCCCAATGGACTCAACGGCCCCCAAGAGACTCAATGCCCCCCTAATGGACTCCACGACCCCCAACGGACTCAATGGCCCCCAGTGGCCCCCAATGGCCCCCAACGGCCCCAATGGACACAAAAGGCCCCCGATGGACCCAAGAGGACCCCAATGGTCACTAATGGGCTCCATGGACTCAATGGCTCCCAGTGGACGCAACGACCCCCCAACAGACTCAATGACCCCCCAACCAACTCAATGGTCCCCAATGGTCCCCAACAGACTCAACGCCCCCCCAATGGACTCAATGGGCCCCAAACGGACTCAACACCCCCCCAACGGCCTCAACAGCCCCCCAGCGGCACCCACCTCCATGTGCTCGATGTGGCGGAGGTGGCTGTTCTTGGTGGTGAGGAGGAGAGCGCGGGCCTCGTCCAGCTGGGTCTTCACCTGCAGGCTCTCGTGGTAGAGCAGCGAGAACTGGGACTGGAGCACCTTGTACTCCAACGTCTCCTTGACGGCCTCCTCGGGCAGCGAGCGCAGCGCCACCTGCGGGACGGGAGGGGACACGCGTGCGACACGCGTACGACATGCGTGCGACACGCATGGGACACGTAAGTTACGTGTACCTGCGCACGTACGGGGTGCGTGGCCGTGGGTGGTCATAGGTGTTGCGTGTTCATACGTGTTGCATGTTCATACATATGTGTGTTATACGCGTGTTCATGTGTTACGCATCATGTGTTACACGCGTGCTCATATGCATGTTATATGAGTAACCGATGTGTTAACGTGCGTTCGCGGTACGTATGTTACGGATGCGTTACATGCATCCTCGTGTTGCATATATGTATTTATATGTAGTGCATGTTACATGCATGTAACGCGTTACATTTCACCTGCGCGTTCCTACGTGTTACGGGTGTGCGCATGTGAGGCGTGTTCATACGTGTTTGTGTTACTCACGTGTTCATGTGTTACGCATCAAGTGTTACACATGTTACGCGTGCTTACATGCATGCTATATGATTTACCGATGTGTTAACATGTCCTCACGTGTTACATACATGTGTGTTCATATGTATTACATGTTACATACATGTAATGCATTACATTTTACCTGCGCTTTCCTACATGTTACAGGTGTGCGTATGTGAGGCATGCTCATACGTGTTCGATGTTCATACATGTGTGTGTTACACGCGTGTTCATGTGTTACGCGTCGCGTGTTACACATTACACGCGTGCTCATACGCATGAGTTACCGATGTGTTAACATGTGTTCGTGTTACGTGTTACAGATGTTACATGTGTCATTGTGCACTGCATACATGGATATTCATATGTATTACATGTTACATGCGTGTAACACGTTACATTTTACCTGCGTGTTCATACGTGTTGCATGTTCATACATGTTTTTGTGTTACACGTGTGTTCATATATGTCACATGCATGTTACGCATCGCATGTTTCCGATGTTGCATGTGGGCTCATATGTATGACATGTTACATGCATTACAGACGTGTTAAGGTGTGTTTGTATTATGTATGTTATAGGCGTGTTATATGTGTCCCTATGTGTTCCATACATGTGTGCTCATATGTATTACGTTACATACATGTAACGCGTTACATTTCACCTGCGCGTTCCTACGTGTTACAGGTGTGCGCATGTGAGGCGTGTTCATACGTGTGTTACATGCGTGTTCATGTGTTACGCATCATGTGTTACACACGCGCTCATATGCATGGTATATGAGTTACCGATGTGTTAACGCGTGTTCGTGTTACGTATGTTACAGATGCGTTACATGCATCCTCGTGTTGCATGCGTGTATTCATGTGTAGTGCATGTTACATGCATGTAACGCGTTACATTTCACCTGCGCGTTCCTACGTGTTACGGGTGTGCGTAGGTGAGGCGTGTTCATACGTGTTTGTGTTACTCACGTGTTCATGTGTTACGCATCACGTGTTACACGTTACACGCGTGCTTACATGCATGCTATATGATTTACCGATGTGTTAACATGTCCTCACGTGTTACATACATGTGTGTTCATATGTATTACATGTTACATGCGTGTAACGCGTTACATTTCACCTGCGCGTTCCTACGTGTTACGGGTGTGCGTATGTGAAGCATGTTCATATGTGTTGCATGTTCATACATGTGTGTTACACGCGTGTTCAGGTGTCACGCGTCGCGTGTTACACATTACACGCGTGCTCATACGCATGAGTTACCGATGTGTTAACGTGTGTTCGTGTTACGTGTTACAGATGTTACATGTCATCGTGCATTGCATACATGTGTATTCATATGTATTACATGTTACATGCGTGTAACACGTTACATTTTACCTGAGTGTTCATACGTGTTGCATGTTCATACATGTTTTTGTGTTACACGTGTGTTCATACATGTCACATGCATGTTACGCATCGCATGTTACCGATGTTGCATGTGGGCTCATATGTATTACATGTTACATGCGTTACAGACGTGTTAACATGCATTCGTGTTACATGGTACAGAGGTGTTATATGTGCCCCCATGTGTTGCACACACGTGTGTTCATATGTATTACATGTTACATACATGTAACGTATTACATTTCACCTGCGCGTTCCTACGTGTTACGGGTGTGTGTAGGTGAGGCGTGTTCATACATGTTGCATGTTCATACGTGTTTGTGTTACACACGTGATCATGTGTTACGCATCACGTGCTACACATCTGCCCCCATCACCCCCATCATCCCCATTACCTCACTGACCCCCATTGCCCCCATCACCCCATTGCCCCCATCACCCCCATTACCCCCATCACCCCATTGACCCCCATCACCCCATTGACCCCCATCACCCCCATTACCCCCATCACCCCATTGACCCCCATCACCCCCATTACCCCATTGACCCCCATTACCCCCATCACCCCATCACCCCCATCGCCCCCATTACCCCATTACCCCATTGACCCCCATCACCCCATCACCTCCATTACCCCATCACCTCCATTACCCCCATCACCCCCATTACCCCCATCACCCCCATCACCCCATTGCCCCCCATCACCCCATTGCCCCCCATCACCCCATTGCCCCCCATTACCCCATCACCCCATTGACCCCCATTACCCCATCACCCCCATTACCCCATCACCCCCATTACCCCATTGACCCCCATTACCCCCATCACCCCCATCACCCCATTGCCCCCATCACCCCCATTACCCCATCACCCCACTGCCCCCCATATCCCCCCCCCACCATCACATTACCTTGAGGCGCTCGTGCCCCCTCACGGCCTGCTGCAGCTCCTGCTGCAGCTTCTCCAGCTCGGCCATGCGGCTGTTGGCCAGCTCCTGGTTCCCCTCCAGCTCCGCGTTCAGCATCTCAAACTGCCCCATAACCAGGGGGTCACCCCATAGCACTGACCCCCATTGCCCTCCCATTACCCCCCACTGCCCCCCATAACCCCCCATTGCCCCCCATTACCCCCCATTGCCCCCCATAACCCCCCATTGCCCCCCATTGCCCCCCCATTGCCCCCCCATTGCCCCCCATTACACCCATTGCCCCCCATTGCCCCCCTCCCACCCAGCCCCATAGAGTCCCCCCCCATACCTTTTGCATGCTGAGGGTGATTTGTCCCCCCTGGAAGCCTCCGGAGCTGGCAGAGCCGTAGGAGCCGGAGGTCAGCTGGGGACAATGGGGAGATGGGGGTCAATGGGGGGCAAGGGGGTTAATGGGGGTAATGGGGTTAATGGGGGTAATGGGGGTAATGAGGGGAATGGGGTAATGGGGGGTAAGGGGGTCAATGGGGGGCAAGGGGGTTAATGGGGAGCAAGGGGGTTAATGGGGGTAATGGGGTTAATGGGGTTAATGAGGGGAATGGGGTAATGGGGGGTAAGGGATTCAATGGGGAGCAATGGGGGTCAATGGGGGGGAATGGGGTCAATGGGGGTAATGGGGGAAATGGGGTCAATGGGGGTCAATGGGGGGGAATGGGGTCAATGGGGATCAATGGGGGTCAATGGGGGTAATGGGGGGCAATGGGGTCAATGGGGAGCAAGGGGGTTAATGGGGGTAATGGGGTTAATGAGGGGAATGGGGTAATGGGGGGTAAGGGATTCAATGGGGAGCAATGGGGGCAACGGGGGTCAATGGGGGGGAATGGGGTCAATGGGGATCAATGGGGGCAATGGGAATAATGGGGGGCAATGGGGTCAATGGGGAGCAATAGGGGCAATGGGCAACACAATGGTTGCTATGGCAACGCAATGGATGCTATGGGGATGCAATGGTTGCTATGGGGATGCAACGGTTGCTATGGGGACGCAATGGATGCTATGGGGACGCAATGGTTGCTATGGGGACGCAATGCGTGCTATGGGGACGCAATGGTTGCTATGGGGACGCAATGGATGCTATGGGGATGCAATGGTTGCTATGGGGACGCAATGGTTGCTATGGGGACGCAATGGTTGCTATGGGGATGCAATGGATGCTATGGGGATGCAATGGGTGCTATGGGGACACAACAGTTGCCATGGCGAAGCAATGGTTGTTATGGAGTCACGATGGTTGCTATGACAACACCATGGATGCTATGGTGAGGCAATGGTTATTATGGGGACGCAACGGTTGCTATGGGGACGCAATGGATGCTATGGGGATGCAATGGATGCCATGGGGATGCAATTGTTGCTATGGCAACACAATGGATTGGATGCTGATGCAATGGCTGCTATGGTAACACTATGGTTGCTATGGGGATGCAATGGTGGCTATAGTGATGCAACGGATGCTATAGGGATGCAACGGTTGCTATGGTGATGCAATGGTTGCTATGGTAACACAACGGATGCTACGGTGATGAGACAGTGGCTATGGCAACGCAATGGATGCTATAGGGATGCAATGCTTGCTATGGGGCCGCAATGGATGCTATGGGGACGCAATGGATGCTATGGGGATGCAATGCTTGCTATGGGGCCGCAATGGATGCTATAGGGATGCAATGGATGCTATGGGGCCGCAATGGATGCTATGGGGATGCAATGCTTGCTTTGGTGATGCAATGGATGCTACGGTGATACAACGGTTGCTATGGCAACGCAATGGATGCTATAGGGATGCAATGGTTGCTATGGTGATACAACGGTTGCTATGGCAACGCAATGGATGCTATAGGGATGCAATGCTTGCTATGGGGCCTCAAAGGCTGCTACGGGGAGCCAACGCTTGCTATGGGGCCGCAATGGGGCCAGGCTTTACCTGCTCCAGGGCCTCGGCCAGGCGTCGGTCGAGGCGGCCCTCACGCTTGCGTAGCTTGGCGCTGTCCCACTGCAGCCCCTCCAGCGTCGTCCCCATCTCCAGCACCTTGGTCTCGGCCGACGTGGCCTTGTCCTGGAGCTCAGCCAGCTGGGGGAAAGCAGGGGGACAGCATGGGGATACCCATAGGGATACCCATAGGGATAGCATGGGGATACCCATAGGGATACCATGGGGACAGCATGGGGATACCCATAGGGATACCCATAGGGATACCATGGGGACAGCATGGGGATACCCATAGGGATACCCATAGGGATACCATGGGGACAGCATGGGGATACCCATAGGGATACCCATAGGGAAACCATGGGGATAGCATGGGGATACCCATACGGATACCCATAGGGATACCATGGGGACAGCATGGGGATACCCATAGGGATACCCATAGGGATACCATGGGGATAGCATGGGGATACCCATAGGGGTACCATGGGGATACCATGGGGATACCATGGGGACAGCATGGGGATACCATGGGGATACCATGGGGATACCCATAGGGATACCATGGGGATACCATGGGGATACCATGGGGATACCCATAGGGAAACCATGGGGACACCATGGGGATACCCATAGGGATACCATGGGGATACCATGGGGACAGCATGGGGATACCCATAGGGAAACCATGGGGATAGCATGGGGACAGCATGGGGATACCCATAGGGAAACCATGGGGATAGCATGGGGATACCCATAGGGATACCATGGGGATACCATGGGGATACCCATAGGGAAACCATGAGGATACCATGGGGACAGCATGGGGATAGCATGGGGATACCATGGGGATACCCATAGGGATATTCATAAGGATACCATGGGGATACACATAGGGATACCCATAGGGAAACCATGGGGATACCATGGGGACACCATGGGGATACCCAAAGGGATACCATGGGGATACTATGGGGATACCCATAGGGAAACCATAGGGACAGCATGGGGATACCATGGGGACAGCATGGGGATACCATGGGGATACCCATAGGGATACCATGGGGATACCCAAAGGGATACCATGGGGATACTATGGGGATACCCATAGGGAAACCATAGGGACAGCATGGGGATACCATGGGGACAGCATGGGGATACCATGGGGATACCCATAGGGACAGCATGGTGATACCCATAGGGATACCATGGGGATACCCATAGGGATATCATGGGGATACCCATGGGGAAACCATGGGGATACCATGGAGACAGCATGGGGATAGTATGGGGATACCACGGGGATACCCATAGGGATACCCATAGAAATACCATGAGGATATCCATAGGGACACCATGGGGATACCCATAGGGATACCTTACCCATAGGGATACCCATAGGGACACCATAGGGATCCCCATAGAACTATCCATAAGGATACCATGGGGATACCCATAGGGATACCATAATGATACCCATAGGGATACCCATAGGGACACCATGGGGATACCACAGGGACACTTAGTGCCCCCATCATCCCCATTACCCCATCAAACCCATTGCCCCCCATTGAGCCCCACTGCCCCCCATTGAGCCCCATAGCCCCCCATTGAGCCCCATAGCCCCACACTGAGCCCCACTGCACCCCATTGAGCCCCATTGAGCCCCATTACCTCCAGGGACTCCCGGTGATGCTTCTCCTGCAGCTGCAGGGTCAGGTCCTGCAGCCTCCGGTGCTCCCGCAGCAGCTCCCGCAGCAGCGCCCGGCCTGGCTCTGGCAGCTCAGCTGGGGGGGGGGGGACAGCACCCATTGGTACCCAATGGCACCCAATAGTATCCCAATGGCACCCATTGGTACCCAATGGTATCCCAATGGCACCCATTGGTACCCAATGGCATCCAAAGGTATCCCAAAGGCACCCATTGGTACCCCAATGGCACCCAAAGGTATCCCAATGACACCCATTGATACCCAATGGGATCCTAATGGCACCCACAGGTACCCCAATGGCACCCAATAGTATCCCAATGACAACCATTGGTACCCAATGGGATCCTAATGGCACCCACTGGTACCCAATGGCACCCAAAGGTATCCCAATGACACCCATTGGTACCCAATGGGATCCTAATGGCACCCACAGGTACCCCAATGGCACCCAATAGTATCCCAATGACACCCATTGGTACCCAATGGTATCCCAATGGCACCCACTGGTATCCCAATGGCAGCCATTGGTACCCAATGGGATCCCAATGGCACCCATGGGTATCCAAAGGGATCTCAATGGCACCCAAATGTATCCCAATGACACCCACTGGTACCCAATGGTATCCCAATGGCACCCATTGGCACCTATTGGTATCCCAATGGCACCTATGGGAACCCTATGGTACCCCATTCCCTCCCATAACGGCATCCGATCCCATTCCCCCCCATGATAACCCCATTCCTCCCCATTCCCCCCCATAAAAACCCCATTCCCCCCCATAAAAACCCATAATAACCCCATTTCCCACCCATAACCCTATTACCCCCTATAATAACCCCATTCCCCCTCATAACAACCCCATTCCCCCCCATAACCGCATTCCCCCTCATTCCCCCCATTCTAACCCCATTCCCCCCATATTAACCCCATTCCCCCCCAATCCCACCCCATAATAACCCCATTCCCCCCCCAATCCAACCCCATAATCACCCCCCATTCCCCCCCATAACCCCCCATTCCCATCCCATAATAACCCCCCATTCCCCCCCCATTCCCCCCCATATCCATCCCATAATAACCCCCCATTCCCCCCCCATTCCCCCCCATTCCCATCCCATAATAACCCCCCATTCCCCCCCCATATCCATCCCATAATAACCCCCCATTCCCATCCCATAATAACCCCATTCCCCCCCCATTCCCCCCCATTCCCATCCCATAATAACCCCCCATTCCCCCCCCATTCCCATCCCATAATAACCCCCCATTCCCCCCCATATCCATCCCATAATAACCCCCCATTCCCATCCCATAATAACCCCCCATCCCCCCCCATATCCATCCCATAATAACCCCCCATTCCCCCCCCATTCCCCCCCATATCCATCCCATAATAACCCCCCATTCCCCCCCATGCCCAACCCATAATAGCCCCCCCCCCCCCCTCCCCGCTCTCACCGTTTCCCGCCAGGCGCCCCCCAGCGGCGCGCGCGCGCTCCTGGGCGCGGGCCAGCACGTGCACGAGGCGCGCCAGCGCCGCCCGAAGCCCCTCCCCTTGAGGCGGCCCCGCCCCCGACGCTGACGCAGGAGGCCCCGCCCCCTGGCGGCTGCTCAGCGCCAACAGGAAGGAGGCTGCCGAAGGAGGGGGGAGGGGAGCGGAGGAGCACGGCCATGGGTCTGGGTTGGGGGGGGGGAGGGGAAGAGAGTGAGGGATCACCCCCCCATTGGCACCCATTGATACCCATTGATACCCATTGGCACCCATTGATACCCATTGGCACCCATTGATACCCACTGACGCCCCATTGATACCCATTGACGCCCATTGATGCCCCATTGATACCCATTGCACCCCATTGGCACCCATTGATGCCCATTGACACCCATTGATACCCATTGACACCCATTGATACCCATTGCACCCCATTGATACCCATTGACACCCATTGATACCCATTGGCACCCATTGATGCCCACTGACGCCCATTGGCACCCATTGATACCCATTGACACCCATTGATACCCACTGACACCCACTGCACCCCATTGATAACCCATTGCACCCCATTGGCACCCACTGATGCCCATTGATACCCATTTACACCCCATTGACTCACATTGACACCCTTTGGCACCCACTGATACCCATTGATGCCCATTGACACCCATTGGCACCCATTGACACCCATTGATACCCATTGCACCCCATTGGCACCCATTGATACCCATTGACACCCATTGATACCCATTGACGCCCATTGATACCCATTGGCACCCATTGATACCCATTGGCACCCATTGACACCCATTGATACCCATTGCACCCCATTGGCACCCATTGATACCCATTGGCACCCATTGACGCCCATTGGCACCCATTGACACCCATTGACGCCCCATTGATACCCATTGGCACCCATTGACACCCATTGATACCCATTGGCACCCATTGATGCCCATTGGCACCCATTGACACCCATTGATACCCATTGGCACCCATTGATGCCCATTGATACCCATTGACACCCATTGATACCCATTGGCACCCATTGACGCCCATTGATACCCATTGGCACCCATTGATACCCATTGGCACCCATTGATACCCATTGCACCCCATTGGCACCCATTGATACCCATTGGCACCCATTGACGCCCATTGGCACCCACTGACACCCATTGACGCCCCATTGATACCCATTGGCACCCATTGACACCCATTGATACCCATTGGCACCCATTGACACCCATTGATACCCATTGGCACCCATTGACGCCCATTGATACCCATTGGCACCCATTGACACCCATTGGCACCCATTGACGCCCATTGATACCCACTGGCACCCATTGACACCCATTGATACCCATTGGCACCCATTGATGCCCATTGTCACCCATTGACACCCATTGATACCCATTGATACCCATTGCACCCCACTGACGCCCATTGATACCCATTGACACCCATTGATGCCCATTGACACCCATTGACACCCACTGACGCCCATTGACACCCATTGGCACCCATTGATGCCCATTGACACCCATTGATACCCATTGGCACCCAGTGATACCCATTGACACCCATTGATACCCACTGACACACATTGGCACCCATTGATACCCATTGATACCCATTGGCACCCATTGATGCCCACTGACACCCATTGATACCCATTGGCACCCAGTGATACCCACTGACACCCATTGATACCCACTGACACACATTGGCACCCACTGATACCCATTGATACCCATTGGCACCCATTGATACCCATTGACGCCCATTGCACCCCATTGGCACCCATTGACACCCATTGATATCCATTGATACCCATTGGCACCCATTGATACCCATTGATACCCATTGATGCCCATTGATACCCACTGACACACATTGACACTCATCGATACCCATTGACACCCATCGATACCCATTGACGCCCATTGATGCCCATTGACGCCCATTGATACCCATTGACACCCATTCATACCCATTGACGCCCATTGACCCCCACTGACACCCATTGACACCCATTGATATCCATTGATACCCATTGGCACCCATTGATACCCATTGATGCCCATTGATACCCACTGATGCCCATTGACACCCATTGGCACCCATTGATGCCCATTGACACCCATTGATACCCATTGGTACCCATTGACGCCCATTGGCACCCATTGACACCCCATTGATACCCATTGCACCCCATTGGCACCCATTGATACCCATTGCACCCCATTGGCACCCATTGATGCCCATTGACACCCACTGCACCCCACTGATTCCCCATTGACCCCCATTACCACCCACTGACCCCCATTGACCCCCCATTGACCCACATTCCCCCCCACTGACCCCATTACCCCCCCATTGACCCCCATTGACCCCCATTACCCCATTGACCCCCATTACCACCCACTGACCCCCATTACCCCCCCATTGACCCCCATTCCCCCCACTGACCCCCATTCCCCCCCACTGACCCCCATTACCCCCACTGACCCCCATTACCCCCCATTGACCCCCATTCCCCCCCCATTGAGCCCCATTGACCCCCCCATTGCCCCTCCCCCCGCTCTCACCCCTCCTTTCAGGCCCCTCCCCCTCGCCGGGGGGGGGTTCGGACCCCTCGGGGTGGGGCTCGGGGGGGTCGGCGGGGGAGGGGCACGGGGGGGGCGCCCCTCCCCCCACCCCCTCGCAGCGGCGGAGCAGGGCCTGGACCTCGGCCTCGAGCTGCGGGAGAGGGGGAAATGGGGTGAAAACGGGGGGAAAATGGGGTGAAAACGGGGGAAAATGGGCAAATATGGGGTAAAAATGGGGTGAAAACGGGGGGGAAATGGGGTGAAAACAGGGGGAAAATGGGGGGAAATGGGGTGAAAACGGGGGGGAAATGGGGAAAACGGGTAAAAATGGGGGGAAATGGGGTGAAAACGGGGGGAAAATGGGGTGAAAAGGGGGAAAAATGGGGGGAAATGGGGGAAATGGGGGGGAAATGGGGTGAAAACAGGGGGAAATGGGGTGAAAACAGGGGGGAAATGGGGTGAAAATGGGGGAAAATGGGCAAAAATGGGGGAAATGGGGTGAAAACGGGGGGGAAATGGGGTGAAAACGGGGGGAAATGGGGCGAAAACGGGGAAATGGGGAAAAATGGGGGAAATGGGGGGAAATTGGTTGAAAATGGGGGGAAATGGGGGGAAATGGGGTAAAAATGGGGGGAAAATGAGGGGAAATGGGCAAAAATGGGGTAAAAATGGGGGGAGATAGGGTGAAAATGGGGGAAATGGGCAAAAATGGGGTAAAAATGGGGGGAAATGGGGGGAAATGGGGTAAAAATGGGGGGAAATGGGGTGAAAACGGGGGAAATGGGGGAATTGGGGTGAAAATGGGGGGAAATGGGCAAAAATGGGGTAAAAATGGGGGGAAATGGGGTGAAAATGGGGGAATTGGGGTGAAAAGGGGGGAAATGGGAAAAAATGGGGTGAAAATGGGGGGAAATGGGGGGAAATGGGGTGAAAATAGGAAAAATGGGGGGAAATGGGGTGAAAACGGGGGGAAATGAGGGGAAAAGGGGGTAAAAATGGGGGTAAAGGGGGGAAATGGGGTGAAAACGGGGGGAAATGGGAAAAATGGTAAAAATGGGGGGAAATGGGGTGAAAACGGGGGGAAATGGGAAAAATGGGGGGGAAATGGGGTGAAAACGGGGGGAAATGAGGGGAAAAGGGGGTAAAAATGGGGGAAAATGGGGAAACGGGAAAAATGGGGGGAAATGGGGTGAAAACGGGGGGAAATGGGGAAAAGGGGGGAAATGGGGTGAAAATGGGGGGAAATGGGCAAAAAGGGGAGGAAATGGGGGGAAATGGGGTGAAAATGGGGGGAAACAGGAAAAAAGGGGGGGAAATGGGGTGAAAATGGGCAAAAAGAGGGGGAAATGGGGTGAAAATGGGGGGAAATGAGAAAAAATGGGGTGAAAACGGGGGAAATGAGAAAAAATGGGGGGAAAATAGGGGAAAATGGGCAAAAATGGGGGAAATGGGGGGAAAACTGGGGGAAACGGGCAAAAATGGGGGAAATGGGCAAAAAGGGGGGAAATGGGGTGAAAACGGGGGGAATGGGCAAAAATGAGGGGAATGGGGGGAAATGGGGTAAAAATGGGCAAAAGGGGGAAGAAATGGGGTGAAAATGAGGGGAAATGGGCACAAAGGGGGGGAATGGGGTGAAAATGGGGGGAAATGGGGGGGAAAAGAGAGGAAATGGGCAAAAACGGGGGGAAATGGACAAAAAGAGGGGGAATGGGGGGAAATGGGGGGGAAATGGGGTGAAAACAGGGGGAAAAGGGCAAAAATGGGGGGAAATGGAGGGGAGATGGGGTGAAAACAAGCAGCAGGGTGGCGTCGTCGGTGGCCTGGCGCTCCTCGAGGCGCTCGATGCGCTCCCTATGGCTCCCTATGTGTCTCTATGGGTCCCTATGGGTCGCTATGGGTCCCTATGGGTCCCTATGTGTCCCTATGGGGTCTCTATGGAGTCTCTATGTGTCCCTATGGGGTCTCTGTGTGTCGCTATGGGGTGTATATGGGTCTCTATGGACCTCTCTGTGTCCCTATGGGGTGTATATGGGTTGCTATGGGTCTCTATGGGTCACTATGGGTTCCCTATGGGTTGCTATGAGTTGCTATGGCTCCCTATTGGGTCTCTATGTGTCTCTATGGGTCTCTATGGGTCCCTATGGGTCTCTACGGGGTGTCTATGGGTCTCTATGGGTCCCTATGGGGTCTCTATGTGTCCCTATGTGTCCCTATGTATCCCTATGGGTCCCTATGGGTCCCTATGTGTCCCTATGGGTCCCTATGTGTCCCTATGGGTCTCTATGGGTCCCTATGGGTCTCTATGGATCCCTATGTGTCCCTATGGGTCCCTATGGGTCCCTATGTGTCTCTATGGGTCCCTATGGGTCCCTATGGGTCTCTATGAGTCCCTATGTGTCCCTATGGGTCCCTATGTGTCCCTATGTGTCCCTATGTGTCCCTATGTGTCCCTATGGCTCCCTATGTGTCCCTATGGGTCTCTATGTGTCCCTATGTGTCCCTATGTGTCCCTATGGGTCCCTATGGGTCCCTATGGGTCCCTATGGGTCCCTATGTGTCCCTATGGGTCCCTATGTGTCCCTATGGGTCCCTATGTGTCCCTATGGGTCTCTATGTGTCCCTATGGGTCCCTATGGGTCCCTATGGGTCCCTATGGGTCTCTATGGGTCCCTATGTGTCCCTATGGGTCCCTATGTGTCCCTATGGGTCCCTATGTGTCCCTATGGGTCTCTATGTGTCCCTATGGGTCCCTATGGGTCCCTATGGGTCCCTATGGGTCTCTATGGGTCCCTATGTGTCTCTATGGGTCCCTATGTGTCCCTATGTGTCTCTATGGGTCTCTATGGGTCTCTATGGGTCCGTACCTGCGCCCAGGAGCGGTTGACGAGCAGCAGGGTGGCGTCGTTGGTGGCCTGGCGCTCCTCGAGGCGCTCGATGCGCTCCCTATGGCTCCCTATGGGTCTCTATGTGTCCCTATGGGTCACTATGGGTCCCTATGTGTCCCTATGGGTCCCTATGGGTCGCTATGGGTCCGTACCTGCGCCCAGGAGCGGTTGACGAGCAGCAGGGTGGCGTCGTCGGTGGCCTGGCGCTCCTCGAGGCGCTCGATGCGCTCCCTATGGCTCCCTATGGGTCCCTATGTGTCCCTATGGGTCCCTATGTGTCCCTATGTGTCCCTATGGGTCCCTATGGGTCTCTATGTGTCCCTATGTGTCCCTATGTGTCCCTATGGGTCCCTATGGCTCCCTATGGGTCTCTATGGGGTCTCTATGGGTCTCTATGGGTCTCTATGGGTCCCTATGGGTCCCTATGTGTCTCTATGTGTCCCTATGTGTCCCTATGTGTCTCTATGGGTCTCTATGGGTCTCTATGTGTCCCTATGGCTCCCTATGGGTCCCTATGGGTCCCTATGGCTCCCTATGGGTCCCTATGGGTCCCTATGGGTCCCTATGGGTCCCTATGGGTCTCTATGGGTCCCTATGGGTCCCTATGGGTCCCTATGGGTCTCTATGGCTCCCTATGTGTCCCTATGTGTCCCTATGTGTCCCTATGGGTCCCTATGTGTCCCTATGGGTCTCTATGTGTCCCTATGGCTCCCTATGGGTCTCTATGGGGTATCTATGGGTCGCTATGGGTCCGTACCTGCGCCCAGGAGCGGTTGACGAGCAGCAGGGTGGCGTCGTCGGTGGCCTGGCGCTCCTCGAGGCGCTCGATGCGCTCCCTGAGCTCGTCCTCCACGGCCTGGCGCTGCTCGAGGCGCTCGGCCAGGCGCTTGTTGCGGAACTGCAGCACCTTCAGGTCCATCTCCTCCTGTCATGGAGACAGAGAGACACATTGGGACCCATAGAGACCCATAGAGACCCATAGAGACCCCATAGAGACCCCATAGAGACACATAGAGAACCATAGGGACACATAGAGACCCCATAGAGACACATAGAGACCCCATAGAGATTCCATAGAGACCCATAGAGACACATAGAGACCCATAGAGACACATAGAGACCCATAGAGACACATAGAGACCCCATAGAGATTCCATAGAGACCCATAGAGACCCATGGAGAACCATAGAGACCCCATAAAGAACCATAGAGACCCATAGGGACACATAGAGAACCATAGAGACCCCATAGAGACCCCATAAAGAACCATAGAGACACATAGAGACCCCATAGAGACCCATAGAGACCCCATAGAGACCCATAGAGACCCATAGAGACCCATAAGGACACATAGAGACCCATAGGGACACATAGAGACCCATAGAGACCCATAGGGACACATAGAGACCCCATAGAGACCCCATAGAGACCCCATAGAGACACATAGAGACACAGAGAGACCCATAGAGACCCCAGAGACCCCATAGAGACACACACAGAGACCCACAGAGACCACACACAAACCCATAGAGACCACACAGAGACCCATAGAGACCCACAGGGACACACAGAGACCCATAAGGACCCACAGAGAGACCATAGAGACCCATAGTCCATAGGGACCCATAGCTACCTCACAGCACCTTCCAAGCCCCCCATAACCCCCCAATATCCACCCCACAGACCCCCTATCCCCCCCATATCCACCCCATATCCCCCCCATAGGCCCCATATCCCCCCTACAGACCCCCATACCCACCCCATATCCCCTCTATAGACCCCATTTCCCCCCATATCCGCCCTATAGCCCCCATATCTGCCCCATATCCCCACCATACCCCCCCATATCCCCTCTACAGCCCCCATATCCACCCCATATCCCCCTTACAGCCCCCATATCCCCCCCATAGACCCCATATCCGCCCCATATTCCCCCTCTATGGACCCCATATCCCCCCATAGACCCCATAGCCCCCCTACCCCCCCATAAACCCTATATCACATTTCCTCCCATATCCCCCCCATAAACCCCACAACCCCCCATATGCCCCCCATATCCCCCCCATAGACCCCATATCCCCCCCATAGACCCCATATCCCCCCCATAGACCCCATATCCCATTTCCCCCCTACAGCCCCCATATCCCCACTATATCCCCCCCCCATATCCCCCCCTAGACCCCATCTCCCCCCCATATCTTCCCCATATCCCCCCTATAGCCCCCATATCCCCCCTATGGACCCCATATCCCCCCATATCTGCCCCATATCCCCCCCCATAGACCCCATATCCACCCCATATCCGCCCCATATCCCCCCATAGACCCCATATCCCCCCCATAGCCCCCATACCCCCCCATATTCCCCCCATAGACCCCATATCCTCCCATACCCCCCCCGACCCCATATTTGCCCCATATCCTCCCATATCCCCCCTACAGACCCCATATCCCCCCCATAGACCCCATATCCGCCCCATATCCCCCCCATAGACCCCATATCCCCCCCATATCCGCCCCATACCCCCTCATACACCCCCCATATCTGCCCCACATCCCCTCTATATCCCCCCCCCATAGACCCCATATCCTCCCCATATCCCCCCCTATGGACCCCATATCCCCCCCATAGACCCCATATCCCCCCCATATCCCCTCATACACCCCCCATGTCCCCCCATTTCCCCCTAT